TACAGCAGATTAATTTTTCACGTATGAATAAAATGATCTGGCAAAATTTAAAAAAAAACACTAATGCTTTCACCTCGTTTAACCTTGCCGTTGCTTGCGGTGATCAGTATATATTGATCACAACAGAGTGATATATATATATCACTCTGTGCACCACAACTAGTGCTTTCTAGCGCTAACTTACTTTGCTGGCTGATGCTTATATGATTGAATAACAGTGAATTGTAATAAATATACCCGTAAACACGCAGCGTTCTCGCACCGGCCAGTTCCCTGAACAGCGACGGCGACAACTCACCTGCCTATGGCGACTGCAGAAACATTAAGTAACAACAACAATAAAAACAACTTGTTCATATTATAGAAGGAGAGGGGAGGCATCGAAAGGTGGGAAGAAGATGCATTGACGCAGACAAAATAAAACCATAGGAACAAACGCTGCTAAACAGATAGAGAAGGGAGTGGAGAGTGAGCGAGAGAGGGGGGACGCGACGGGACGTACCAGTTCATATACATAAACATCTATACGCCAGAACACATGATGACTTTCAATTCAGCTTTGCTGTTAAGGCTGCGGCACCGGTGGCGACGACAGCGCCTGTGATCGGGTCGAAACCACAATTACTGCGACAACAACAATAAGCTACTAGTCGTTGTTACCTTGTCATCATAGAGGACCTTCTCCGTTTATGTTCGGCACTTCAAGTCAAGAATAGAAGGGGGTCGCGGCAGAGGTAAGCCGACTACCCTGATAAGCTGAGACAATAACAACGCAGTCAACGTCGTCTTTGCGGCCGCCGTCGCTATCGTTTTCGTAACCACTGGTGACATTCAGACAGTGACAACAAACGACTGAAAGCCAACAATCGCGACGTCCGAAGCCGAAGTCGCTCTCCGGCCGAATCGTAACAACCACGAACAATGCGACCGTCACCGCCGCAGATGTGCGCTCTGTGTACATGTGCGTGCTTCCACGTGTAACAATAACGGTCGCTCACGATGTGTCTCCACCTCTGTTATTGTAACTAGGGCTATTACATTTCTAGTACACCTGCTATTTGTGTGTATCAGCGATAGCCACTGCCACGATAAAACGCGACGCCGCCGCACTCGACAATGCTGCTGTTTTGAGTGCCCCTGTTGACGCTCTGGTGTCTCATGATGATACTGATGGTAATCGTTAATAGAGCTTCACCGAATACTATAATAATGCTACCGCTATTGCTTCATGGCGCAGGTAATAGACATTGTATTGATGCCGTCGTTTTATTGCTGCAGGCGTATGCAGTTGTCGCCAAGAAATTGGCCTACTGAAAAGCTGAGTGAGTCATTGACTTTCTGGTTAGCTGTCGGGACTCCTGGTCTGTGACGTGACCATCGACGAAACGCTTTGCTTCGTCCGTAGCCAGTCGGACGAATAAGCTGCAACACAGACCATTGGCACGAGAAGGAAAAGCCGCCTTGCTCCTCCCTGTGTCCCCCCTTCCCCGCGGCACACTGACGATCTTCCCCACTGCCATTCTTGCTGGTTAGGAAATAGCAAGATCACCATGAGACTAGCTGGATTGCACAGTTCATTTAGACTGACAAAAGCTTAATGCTGATCAGTCAGTAAGACAAGGGGCTCACAAATACGGCTCGCTGCACGAGCCACATAAAACAAGCAAGCTCGGCAAAGTTTATGGCGAATCATGAACGTGACGACGATGATGATGACGGGTCTCGTGGCATACAACTTACTTTCCTCGCACCCTATTTCGCATCCCAACTGTTGCTGATGTTGATGATAGCCGTTCACCCTTCTAAGAATTTCAACACCCCCTTTTACCGACAGATACGACCATCTCGTCCACCTTGACTGATGATCCACCTTCATGTGGACCCACAAAGCACTAAATATTTATAATTCTGTTCACCACCGACAAATTACACAGAACACAGGGCGTAGATGAACGCGTGTTATGAACGGTGCGTTGTCCTGTCATCCAGAACACTATATATAGGTATATGGATATATATACCTATATTTTGACAAATGCGTATCATCAATAGGGTATATTCTATAAGGTCACATGTATCTTGAGAAAGTCGGTGCCTTCCTTATTGATTTGACCGAGTGACGTGAAACAACGTGTAATAATTCCAACAAACGATTTCTCCAAAGCATAGCTATAAGCAAATCTGGTTGCTACTCATTTTAGCAATAAGTAGAGATAACATTCAGGACTGTGTCCGGGTCCCTATTTTAAGTCCGTTTTGTGACGAGTCTTAGTCGCCGTCAGTGGTAAATCTTGAAGAAATAAAAAAAAAATCTCATTTCGTACAAAAGTAACATTACCCGATCTGAGTAATAACCGATAATCAATATAATGATTCCATGAATTACCTATCAGCGTTCTATTATTTGTGCGATATATTGGTCAGGAGATGACAGGCGGGCAACAATGTCACATAGTTAACAAACAAAGACAATTTCCAGCACTTCGAAGTGCGCAGCGCTGATCGCGTGACGATACGAGCGAACCTCAACATTGCCTCTTTCTAATGCTACCATCTAAATCTGTAATGTTCAGTGCTGTGTATTTACGGTACACGGATGTGTACCGAGAGGGTGAATGTGTTTCTATGCATCCTAAGAGATACTTGTAGCGGCGGTTTTTTTTTTTGTCGCAGGAGCCCAATCATAGTGTCCCAAACAAAGGGACCCGCGATTAAGGCTTACCGAAACGCCGACACCACACTAGAAGACAACAAAAACAATGGAGCAATCCGAACCCAGTCTACGCACAATGACACGCTTAGCGTCATCTGTAAATTGCTTAACAAAGGGACATGAAATGCATCCTAGTGAAATTCAGACAAAAATCCGTCCTGAATTACGGCCCGGTGCTTTTACATAAAGAACTTTCACTAGAACATAAATGCTAGTCGCAAGTTGTTGGTAAAATCGTTAAAAACACGGTGCAATTTCATCTATCCGATACAAGTTTTTCCCCAAATAAACATTGATGGGACCAACCACTGGTCACGCGTCACAAATTCCTATTATTCGTGTAAGCAATAACAAATCATATTAAAGCGATTAAATACCCGTATGTAGTGTTCTACATACGGTTCACATATAATTAATTGCAAGTTACATGTAACAACCTAGGCTAGTGGTCTATTTAATATGTGACGCATCGCTTGAATTTATGAACTCGCCTTCTGGAACCATCGCAACAACAACAACAACATGTGGTTGACGCTCCATCTAAGGCAAATCCTCAACGGTCTTTCTCTTGAGGGTTTTCTTGTTGGCACATTGCTATAACAGTACCGCTGGCTGGTGTCGACATGTTGATGTGCCCCTCCGATAACCTCTTCGAAGTCGTAAGTATCATACACTACTGTCTTGTTCGTGGCCTTAGCTGAGGCTATCAAGCAGATTTTTATCATCATCGTCAGAGCCGTCCTATCTAGGCTACGAAGCGGAAGCTCCCGAACACTCAGAACAGAAAATAAATACACGTCCGACAGGCCCATTCTGGTACCGGCGACATTAGATATTGCGTCAGCACTCACCATAGTTTGTCCTATTTATATTAACGTACATTTCACTATCCTAATCTAACTGAGCTTAAACAACTTGTTTGGCTGCATATCAACACGAAAATGGCCTGTTTTGTATTCTTCGAAGAGTAACCATTATTTCCACTATGCATCCTTTCTGATTTTCCACCAATAGTTTTTTCAGACAAAAATAAATCGTTTTCGGTTCGTGCGTACACAAACGCGGGACATTGTAACGCAAAAATAGTTATCGTAGGCGCTTTATTAAAGGTTCAGTGTTCTGAAGCAGGCTTATAAACTCAGGTTAGACTTCCCTCGCTGTTTTGGGGGAACTTCAAGTGAAGACTGAGTATGGTGTTGTCCTTTCTGTGAAGAGCTGCACTTCTTTGAATAGCTTTTGCCGTCTCTAAACACGAAATATATAGTAAACAGTGCACCGTTTGAAAAGTCTTGGAAACGAGGTACCCGGAAGGGCTGATCAATACCGAGTATTTGTAACCAACGAAATGGGCATGCCTTACTCACATGACTGTTATGAAAAATTAAACTTTCCTGAATTTACGTCACCAGTTGCATAGAAGTCCGTCGTTTGACTGTTTGTTGTTTGTCTGAACGACATTGCTTTTCGTGTTTCGAGTTTAAGTTCGAGTTAAAGTTTGCTAATCACTGGCGGTCACTATCGGCAGAACTTTGATCGAATTTTCGAAATTCGTTGTAAAAATAATCAGATCTGGCCATTAATCGTGGCTAGTCCCTCAAATCTACATTAACGTATTCTATAACAGTACGAAATAAGATTATCTGCTGTTTCAGTACACTTAAAACTCAAACACGAAAAGATCTTCTGTCTAACCAAAACCTGATCTTTTTGTCATGATCAGTAAATGTGTGGTAACTTGGATCAAACTATCGCGACCGTCGTGCATTTGCTTAAGTGTCCGCCCGCTGAGGAATAACAGCGGGTGCCATTGCTGGCTGAGGATTTTTCGACTCCTCGGGAGCATTATCGCATCTTTAAGACTTCCTTTTCAGTTAAAATTTTTCTCAGCTAGACGAAGGGTAGCTTTCGTAAATCGTACCAACCGCACCCTGTCTACCCGCCGATCGATATGTTCATGGTTCAAGCGGATTATACCGCGCGCACGTTAGAGAGATGGGAAGTCTAGCTACTTACGTACGCCGACTTCGAAATATGACCGTAAATATTTGCCGAGCATGATGGGGGTAACTGCTATCGTGGGAACGATCTGTGATCACATTGTTGGATACGCAATAGTTTGAATCATATAGTCGCAAGTGGTTGCTGATCTCGAAAACAATTTCGAATTCTATAGAGTAATTAGCTTAAGAACATTGGGGTATGCATGCGCTACCTAATAAACTCCATATTATATCTACATATATGCCAGATGCTAGTGATAAGCTACTTTATCATTTGTGGCGCTCACCTATAGTAGTCCTCCTTGCAATAGATTGCTCCTGAACGCGCGAAACAGCTCAACTCGTTATCCAGATGTATCTTACAATGGCTGCAACGCAGGCAGCTCGTGTGCCATTGACGTTCTGCTGCAAGCAGATAAAAACGATCGTGAATATGCGATCCACAGCCATAGCACTGTTTGTTAGCGGGTCCCCCGACGCCGGGCGATGAAGATCCCGACATCTCGCTAGAGGACGTTTCCATAATAGGCATCTTGACGAACGGCAAAATTTTTTCACGATCTTTGTCGCGCTTGTTAGTCCTACCGGCCAGATTGTCTAGTCCGGCGAACAACGGTTCCGGCCAGTAGGACACAGGTCCTCGTTCACACGCCACACGAGTAGAGTTTTGTGTCACAGTGACGATTTCATTAAGTCGCAGTTCGATAACCGTCGACGTGTCTTCCAACGCACTCGCGAGCAGTGATCGATCACACGATGATCCAATATCTTTCTATCCACACCTACAGATTGACTGGACGTATCTACATTAACATATTAGGTTTTCTCACAGATGCCATTGGCGGTTGATGGCAGCCGACGTTACACGCTTGCACAGATTGTACGAGCTTCAATATCTTCGTATAAGTGAGCCTCGTAGACGAAGTTTTCGTACTTGAGAAACGTAAAATTTTCAACTAGAGCAATGCCAGGCAAGAACACTCACAATACAGCTCCCTCTCTGGTTTACTATTCGTCGCTGCTCGTTGGTTTACCTGCTCGACGTTACTCTGCTCGCGACTACTGCTTAATACGTTTAAATTCATTCTCACAAAATGTTGACATATTATTCGCACATGCTCTGTCGTTGTACACATCACTTCAACATCGGCTAGCAATTGCCAGGACGATCGCTTTTAGACGCTGTCAGCTTCGATGGCGGTAACTTTCACGTCGCCGACGACAACAACTAACCTAGGTGGCAACTTGTTATTTACATACGCAGCACAGACAGACAGGCACATCGCGACGAGCAACACAGGCGAGAAGCAGTATCGTCACTGAGTGAAACAAATAGCCAGCCAGCCGGCCGGCCGGCCTGTCATTCGGTCAGTCAGATCGGCAGACACGCACGTCAGCCAGCCAGCCAGCGTCGAACGGCCGCTGCCGCCCTGTCCTGCTTAGTCCAGCAGCTACAAAGGACACACAGTTGCAATAGTGTTGCCTCAACATCGAGCAGCTATACGCATTGATGCACACGCACGAATAGATAGACGGACAAAGAGAAAGACACACAGATCCACGGCACTGACTGATGCCAATACACAGATTGTGCTCACTCGCTCGTTCGCTCACTTGCGCGCGGTGTAGTCCGGCCAGAAGTAGTCAGTAGTCAGGAGAAGGCCGCAGCACCGGCCGCAGCAGTAGCGCCACCACGACGCTTTGGCCCCGCCTCGTTCGTCGCTCATTGGCCGTCGATGGAGTGACCGAACGCCGGCTCGCGCTCCGCCCAGTTTGTGCAGTCCCTCAAAGACGATTGGCCGCCGAGGACGCGCTGGTAATCGAAACAGCCACGAAAAGGGGAAGAGCGGCAGTGGGGGGGCTTGTGAGTGGCAGGGGGTAATCGTACGGATGGTGGCAATACTGTTCGTAGTGCTAGTGGTGGGGTGGAGGCATGGAACAGGAGGATGAAAGGGGCGAGCGGAATAGAAGAAAGCGCGGAACGCGAACAAAAAGAGGGGACAGATCTCGCTCTCTTTGTCGAGGAAAATTCATTGGCGTCACCATCGACCACCACGGCCGCGAGTCCTGCTGGTAGTACTGCAACTAACCGACCGCGGCTACCGGCGCCGCTAGCGACGTCGTCGTTGTTGTTGTTACTGCTGCAACTGGGGCTGCTCCGCTGTCTTTGCCTCAGTACAAAGGTGAAACTGACGGTCATGACGATGGTCATGATGGTTGTGATGCTGATGATAGCGTTGGCAATGCCTGTTGTTATTACTGCCGCTTCTGTTCCTTCCACAAGGATGATGATTCTGTCCACGGTGACGGCGATAATGATGATTATAATGATGGTGCTGATAGCAGCAGCAGCAGCAGCAGCAGCAGCAGAAACGGAAAGAGAGAAAGATGTGTTATCGCACGGCTTGGTGCAATAGCCATCTGTCAGTGCCACAATCGTCGCATATGGTACTGCACCATGTGAGGGATCCAAAACAGTCAACTACTATGATGTTTACTATTAATACTATACAGCACCATGTACTATACGTTTCCATCCGTCCGTTCGTTTATCTGAGCGTCCATTCGCACGTCGCTGTGCTCGTCAATTTATGTATGCGTGTGCGTGTGTGCCTATGTACGTATGCTTCAAGCCCGGGGAGGGGGTCTGCTATTCATGAACAAAGAATGTAAACAAAAAGAAAAGGGCGAGAAATAGACAAAAATGCCCGTTTCAACTGTAGATGTCAACCTCAAGAAGAACCGGTGGCATCACACACTGTAAAGTACATGACGCAGAGTATCACAGATATGGAATGGGGCGAAACGTATTTTAACCCACTGAAGCGGATACTGACAGGCAAGGGCAGCGCGCGTGCGGAATAATGTGAAGACAAAACGAGACTGAGACACAGAAGGAAAACAGCGGGTGCGACATAATAAAAAATAAACTCTAGACAATATTGCTCGATAAGATTATTATTAGGCCTCCGAATGCTTCATAGATCGTTTTGCTGGGTTACGAGAAGCAAACACTATCGTACGAAATCTGACGGACGCAATTAGAGACTTCTAAATGAATGGAAGCGTCTCTGCAAAAACTAAAGGACCCACTCAGTATAAGAGAAATGAAAAAGAGCCTGTTTATAAGTTTATTCGCCTCTTTGTATTAAAGGCCAATGAGCGTTGACTCAACCATTGAACAGCTCGCATGGTCACGGTTGAAGAAGGGTACCATAGCCCAAACAACAGCATCGACTTCCGAAGTCAGGCGGGCTTTTTTCTGCCATTATTTTTCGCTGCAGAAGCAGCAACGCAATAAAATGAGATAAAACGATGGCCGGCTTGATTCACCTGACGAAAGACAGACGACTCTGTAATTCATTGAGGAAAGCTCTCAGACTGCATTCAATTAGTTAGCAAAATTATACTGGAGACGGTGTGATTTTCTCGTAGATATTTTGTAAATTATGTGTAATAAATTATTACACATAGTGCCTTGACTCGAACGGGATTTCGGTAGCCGTCTGTTCTGCTCGTTTTTATGCTAATTTCCGTGACAAAAAAATCATATCTATTCAAATTACGCACTTTTTCAAGTCCTTTTGGTTGTATAGAAGATAGCAACCTGAATTTAAATTCAGAATTAAATAAAGCGTTTGTTCGCAAGATCAAAATACCGGGGCATGCGACATGCGCCTTATGTACCGCGTATTTTCAGATCAGGAATACCGACCTTTGATATTTTGCTTTACAAAACTTTGTATTTCTACCCTTTGATAAAGGAAGACGTCGGTTCTGAGAGTTGACTACTGATGGACGCTATTTTAACGTTATATATCATATAACAGTAGTATAAATACGTAATTTACCTTGCTGGAAAGTTTTTCTTTGTAAATAGCGAAATATTCCACTAGATAAATTTCATCTAAATTATTCGATAGGGAGTGGAAGTTTGTTTTACGCAACATAATGTACGCAAACATAATCTGTATTACAACCCTTTGATTGGTAGGCTCACATATTGGCAGCTTCAATCGGGATTATATTTCTAAGAAACTGATGTCTTTATCTATACCCAACTGTGTGAAAAAGTCTAAACCTTATATGATAATTATCTTTAAATGGCAAAAAAAATGATATAGAAAACGAGTTCTTAAAAATTAGATAATTTTGGACGTAAATTACCCTTTTACTGAACTCAGACGAAGTTCACGAATTATGTACAGAAGCTCGTCCAGCTTATTTCGTAAATTACGCATTGTAAGTTATTACGCACGTTAACTTGACTCGAGCGAGAGTCAGCCTGTTTCACAACAGTGACAGAAATATTATTATTCGAATAATAGAGATCAGACTAATAATAGAAATAATAACATTGAAAAAAATATTGGTAGAATCAATCGAAGGGTTGCAATATAGATTATGCCTGCGTCGCGTTTTTTTTTTACTTAAGTAGTGCATAATTTAAGTATAAATAAGTTGAACAAATGTATTAATTTTTGTTCTACATTATAGCCACTAAGCGAATTGTTCTATGTTATATAGCTGACTACATTTAGAACTTCTACAAACGCCGTCAATACTACACGTCGCCGATACGAGTGAACGGCGAGAGGTCCGTGAACACTACAGCATAGAATGCTGTAAGGTACGTCTTTTTTGTGGATGAGATAAGATATCAGCAAGGCCCGGCGTTAGTTAAATTCGTCTTATGTGGGGTTGTCGAAATGAAAACTTCTAACAGATAGATAACCGATGGGTAAGTAGCGAAAAGGACACACTATTGACCAGTATATTAGCGTATTACACATATAGCATACAACCAATTCATTAGAATCTGCTTGATGAAGTTTTGTTTGATAAAAATAAATATAAAATATCAGAAATATATATATAGATACATGATGATGATTGAACTAGCGGGATTTTCAAAGGAGCAAACTGCATGGCAATCTGTTAAGTGGCATTTGCCCTCGTGGCTTTACATCGTTTGTGTGCACGGATGATGAGATCGATAGGCGACTAATCAGATGATGCCGGTTTTCGGTTTATGAAACTTGCGCTTCTCTAGTTTTTGTTTGCTATAGCCTTTGTTTCGTTAAAGCTAGTATTCACATATGATAATTATATCGTGGTTCTGCAAACGAAGACGTTGGTTTGCTCGAAGGTAAGATCTCTTCGCGAAGTTCCCAGTAAAGTATTAGGTAGAACATACAAAGCCGACATGATGATTTGTGTACGCCTTGAACTTCCTGCGCTGTGTACGATGTACGTTGCATTCTATCCAGGTCGCCCGTTTGCTTTCTCGTTGATTCCTCGACCCGAAGCTGTCCATTGTTATAACCAGAGGGCGTGAGAGATGGCTTTAGGTAAAGATGATGTATTTGTTTTATTCCAAAATCGATTGCTATGTTGCCTATCGTCCTATTCACAACACGATCTGTAAAGGACCGTCCGTTAATTGGCATAATCCTAGCGTGTATTTGATACTTCAATAAAACCTAGCGATTGGTATGTTCGAATCGAACCTTCGTCGTCGGAGCAACGTTGTGTACCGCACGCATTGAACGGTGAAAATTTTGAAACTAAAGCCTAATTTCATAAACGTGCGTTACGTTGCGATCCGCGTAAAGCTATACCGCCGTCAAATCGGATAAAGATATCCACATCAGTGTGGAATCATGTTGGGCTGTCGAAAAGTCTTGACCGCTTCTTAAGCCAAGACTGCAACAACTTTTTTTTATATTTGAACATATCGTTACTAAAGTGAGTATGCGCCGTTGATCCAGGATGATTGATTGCTATTAGAACGTCATAACCCTATAACTGACGAACTTCTGTAGGTACCAAGCGAAAAAATGGGACAAGTGATTTTTGCATCTCAACATTGAGACCAGTTAACACCATTAGGAAAGTTCTGCAAAGACCGAAACAGGCGATAGTCTGATGGAGCGAACTGACGGAGCTATACGGTGGATGCAATAAAATTTCCCACTCGAGTTCTATTTTTTTCCCAGGTAGCTAAATATTTTTATAGTATGGCACTGTCGTGGTAGAGTACGACGCTGTCTCTGTTCGCTAGCCGTTCCTGCTGACTTTCCGCTTAATGGCTTGTCCTAATCGTGTGACTTCGTGAAAGTAAAGGTAGACTGTTTTGCATCTTACAATCGTCATCCACAATCAACTGTTTCAGGAAGGGCTTGATTTTGTTGTGTTTCATAGATCAGTAAACTTCCGTGCGTCACAGTGTGTGATACCCAAATATCGAGCTTTTTTGTAAACAACTTTTTTCCGATGATTTAAAACTGTTTGACGATGGATCTTAATCCCTTGGCAATATGATGGCTACTCACATGTAGGTCTTATTCAGCTTTTGTAATAACTTCATAAACTTTTTCCGTAATTGATCGACCATTAGGGGAAGCGTTTCTCACATCGAAAGCGGATGAACCATTTTCAGGCCGATTTTTCTAATAAGGTATCTTGTTTGTAAATAGCACATTTTTTGATGGGCCTGAGCAGCATTCTGAGCCTTTATTATAATAAAATTGTGAAGTATATCGAATTTCAGCAGGAACTTCACTCATCTTCGGGGCACTTTACCT